GCGAGACAAGAAAGCAAGCCTGCTCTGATCTCTGCAAATTTTTTATTTCCACCCCGCAAACCGAAGTAAAGAGTAAGTCAATTAATTTTCACCAGAAGTATGAACTTTCGCTGCTCAGATTTCTCTGGAAAATTGTAAATCTTTTTCATAACAACATGCACGCACGATATCCGCGCGATATCCACGCACGATACCCCGAAGAAAAACTGTTAAAGTTTATGTCTTATGTGGTCTGGTCTTTGCCCATTGTGCTGTTGAAATGCTTAGAGACATTAGTTGATAAAGCTACTCGACAATCCAAGGGTAAATAAAGTATACTACTACTACTACTACTACTATGTCTACTAAGGACACACACTTGATTCCCAGTGATCTTGTTTTGGCAGTCTGGTCTTTGATGATGCTGGTAAATGGGCAAACGCCTTCATGTTGTTTCATTACCCGCTTGCAATCACATACGTTTGTAATAATTAATTCTTCCCATATGCAGTCGGCATATGATTCGTTAACATACATTCAATTGCTATTTCCTGCTCCCTCTTTAGTTTGAAATTTAACCAGAAATAGACTGGAACTTTGTTAAAACATCAGCAATACACACACTCCACTCTTCCTCTGATTCCAAATGTGGACACCTTGTTTTTTATTGTGCGGTAAATTACAAACTCCATGGGGATTTAATCGGCTGTCATCAAACACAATCGATTGACAGTTTTCTCACCTTTCCCACTTTTCAACCAATGGTATTTCACTTCGCTCAGACGAAGCAGAAATGAGAAAATTACAGAGATCAGGGCAGGCTCACTTTCTGGGCACCTCTTCACCAGACTCCTTCCCGCTGGATCGCTTTGCTCCTTGCCACTTGCGCATGTGACTCAAAGGTGAGCCTACTTGTAGGCAAGAGTAAACATCTAGTGCCACTTAAAGAGCAAGGCTTGCTTCTTTCACCAGTTAGCTCAAAGGAAGTATTCCAGGCAGTACAGAGGGTAGGGAGTATTGGAGGCCAAATAATGTTTTTTTATGTTTTTTTGACCTTTCAACAGTTGCATCAAGAAACTAATTTCCAACCAAGCCGGACCTGTTTTTAAACGGAACCCAAGCCGACTAAGCCCAAACCTATTTACAACCGTCGCAAGCGGATGCTTATTTTTAACTGTTTCTGATTAAATGAATCCTAATATGACCTAACTGGTCCACTGAGATGGCTACAAGGTTTGAGTAATTGCTCCACTGATATATCTTTGTATGCATAGTCATCCCATAGCTCAGAAACCTTAGTTCGAAGACCACAGAACGTTTGCCTTTTAATTTGTTGTAGCTTACGACGAGAGACCAGTCTTACTTGTATTGCGAACAGTTTGGCTTCTTTGTGGAGGTCCTGGACCAGGATGTAGAACGGGATATGCACTCTGCTTCCAGCTTTATTGCTATGCGAGTGCAGTAACACTTCTAAGTGCATAATCAAACAAATGTATTCACGCCTAATGGCTCTTTAACTTCAAATGTTTAATTGAAAGGTTTAAAGGGCATTTCATACTCTACAGGTAAAAGATGTGGAAGGTTTATTAAGTTTTCAAATACAATCAGCCATCAATCAACCAGCGCATCATCAACATGGCATGGGGAAAAAGAGATTGGAGAGCATGAAACAAACAATTTCAAAAGACACTAACAACTTATAAAGACCCATGTCATCTTACAAAGGTAACATTTTATCCCTCTGGTAACTTGTAAATACATTTCAGACCTTTTCCAAAAAGCCATGAGTGTTGTGGACATTGGTGAACTGACATATACAAACTTATCCAGGACATTGGTGAATCAACTTCATACCATCGTTGGCGAACCAGTGAACAGGTATATTGAGGAAGGAAATATAGAAAATGAAACATATTTGGGAGCCAGCTACTCCATAATTTGCATTAAAACACTTTGAGTGAATCGACTTTGAGTTGGGGCAAGACGACTTTCAGTTGGGACGAAACGGACTTGGGGCGAAAAGACCTGTTTCCATGAAAACAACACATTATCATTCAAGTCCAATCGACACATTTATCGGCTAAAAAAATCACAAAAAAACCCACCTAAGATGCTTCGATGTTTCAACATTTTCTGGGGGTAGGCATGCCCCCACACACCCCTAATGGAATGGGGCCTTAGGCCCCATATTTGTTACTGAAAGGCCACTCACGGAATCCTGAATAAAAGCCTGGGTCTGGCACAGTAGTCACACAGATTTTCATCCTCAAAACGACGAAATGTTGATTTCACAAGAATGCATAATCTCAAAGATATTGATTTCACATCAAAAACACTAACATGTTGATTTCAGGAGAATGCGTGACCACAGAGATGCTCATTTCACTTTAAAAAAACACATACATGTTGATTTCATGTCCTCTGCTGACCTCAAAGGCACTTTTTTCACTTGGGAAACAGTTAAATGTTGATTTCAGGAGAATGCATGACCACAGAGATGCTCATTTGACTTATGACAGAGCGAAATGTTGATTGCACAAGGCTCTAGAGGTTAGGGTTGAGTCCCCTGATCCCATAAGTTCAAAACACCACAAATCATGCCAATTTGAAATAAAATTGCTGTTATAATCAATTGCTAGTTATTGGCCATTATCTATGGTACTCCCTGTGTCCATAACTTCGTAAAATCCACTTCCTCCCACTTCTAATTTACCAGGCTTCTAAAGCCAGAAAACATCCACTGTGCATGATTGCAATGCATGCCGAAATGGGTTCTCTATAACTCACCCGCAGGAAACATGGCAGTCGTTACAAGAAATATTTTATAAGTCTAAAATCAGTTCTCTCTTTCCAAACTTTGATGATGGCAATGCTGGGCAAATGGGCCACAACTCACGAGAGGATTGTTTTCTTGGGCAAGAACTGCTCTTGGACTTTGCGGCCTGGATCAATCTGACTTCAAATGCCAATACCTTGATTGTATCAGGTTGTTCAAACATCAGAGAGCACATTTTGGTTCTTTAAAACGTGCTGATGACTTACGGGTTTATCAAGGCTTTATGATGCCTCTGCACCACTGGACAGAAGCTACATTTATGTATTGTATTGAGATAAGACACTGCCAATAGTTTGTTGGGTACATGATAAAGCATGTTATGGGAAACTGGAAGCGACAAAAACATCATGTCCTATGTACATCTTTACATTTTAAGGTATCATGGTGGGTGGATTTTTACAAAAAATGTGAAAAATCTTTTTTTGCTGTTCCAATTGAGAAAACTGAGATAAATATTTTGCAAAAAGAATGGAGAAAAAAAGCTTTGTTACTTTTTAAGACAAAGAGAAAAACTATTTTTGAATCTCATTAACCTCTTACAGCGCCTTGACACCTCTAAGTAAAATTCATCAACAGTTGTCACGTGTGATGCAATATTTCATTTGCGCATGCAAACTGTTCTCAATCTCGTTGTTTCATCACAAATTAGCTTTTGTTCTTGTCAAATTTTCTTTATGTCAGGACGAAAACGCAAGAAACTTCTTGCCCATTTTCGTCTTCGAAGAAGTTGAAGAGGCAAAAATCTGGTAGAACCCACAGGTTCAGCCTCGAGCAAGATCTTTAGCTCTGAGCGATCATGGGTAGCACTGTAACAAAGAAGAATGGTTGAAGGAACTCAAGGACACTAGTCCCGCCGATGAAGCTAGTGCTAGTCGCACGAAATTGCTGGAGAACAGACATGATTCTGAAACTTCCACAACGAGAGAGTCAAGTGCAGATGTAGATGTAGACAATATAGACCTCGAGATTCCTCTCTTTGGCTTCATGAGGCATAGTTCCAAAAAATGTCTGGAGAACTAAGAAGCCTAAACTCAAGCAACATAATACCAATGCCGCCAACAAAATCTTCTAAGTAAAAGAAGTCTGGCGGTTTAAATACAAACCTGTATAAAGCTCTTGGTAGTTTGTCGCCTCTCGGACGATTTAACTGCAACAGGTTTCCACGCCAGATTTGTAGATGTCTGTTTATTTCAAGTTGTCATAACCCATTGTTGTGGTAAACTGACCCATGCCAACATCTGTCAGTGTGGAGGGGATTTTTAACACCTAATCATACCAATCTCATAAAAGGTTTTTCATCTTTTTCTCAATAAAATAAAATTGCATATAATGATGAACATTTATAGTTCATTTACGTGCATCTTCCGACAGAATTGGCTCAAAATTGGCAGGTATGTTCAAGGGTACCTCCTTCGAAAAAGAGTGTCGGGCTTTGTTTAATTTCACTTCCATTTCAAAGTTATTACCTCTGCACATGTAGTGGAAGGAAACGTCCACATTAAAAACATCAAACTGTAGGAGGGTGTAGAAAAAAAACCAAACCACATCTGGAAAATCGCCAACACCATTTTTGAGGGTGATGTGTGAGAAACATTTGCGATGTTAACTGCGCCGCTCTGATAACTCACGCACGGAAGCGAACCAGTTTAAGCAAAGCAGTGTTTCTGGGTATTTCTTTTAATATCACTGCGACAATAACTTTTTAGAAAATTTCAAAGATATGGTTGTATTCTATAACTATTGTTAACTTTCAGAAAATGTATAGGTTGATGGGGTTTTCTTTCAAAGTGCCAGCATAAGAGAGTGCAATTTCCAAACACTATCAATCCACCTACTATGATACCTTAAACTTGTGCTCTTGTCAAGAGCTTACTTTGCACGTTATAAAACATGTAGGAACAAAACACAGGTAAATAAAATAAGACACATCTCCACATCTTACTGTTTTGGGTGTCTCTTTACTCTCTTCATCACCTGCATTAAATGTAATTACATTGTTAGTTAGTCAATCTGCAATGCATAACACCTGCAAGGTCACAAGTACATAATTAAACATAAAATCTTGCTCCTAGAGAACATCATGAGAAAAATAAACCCTTTTCCATTACTTATGGGGAATCTGATCATAACTGGGATTTCCTGACGGAAACAAAACTGGTTATCCATGTGTGACCTGTTATTAACTAATTACAAGTTATGATTGTATACATGTAGCAAAACAAAGATGTTAGTAGATCCAACGTGAAAGCAGTCAATATTTACAAGTAACGAGGAATTATAATAATTGTTTTCTCTAAGGTTGCCCAGTCAGAGACTTTTGGCAGGAAGCAGAGCACACACTGTTGAGAAAACATTCTATGTATACCACAAATATAATTGCCCTTGTACAATTAAGACCAGGATCTGGGAGAGATTCTGCCACAACCTTGGTGGGAATAACACTCTGGTATCTCTACAAGATTCTGGCCAACAGGTCTTTTCATTCACAGGAGGAATGCGGGGAGGGGGGGATTTTTGCCAGAAACCAAAGTCTTCGGCAGCCAAAATCCTGCCCTGGTCTTGCCAAAATTCACTTCAGGGAGCAAAATTCCTGGAATCTTGCCAAGATTCAGCAGAAAGCAACATTCCACCGCCAAATGATTGGCAAGATTCACCACAGGAGTCTTGGTCTCCGAGAATTTTTCCTCTGCAAGGTTAATGGGGGGAATCTCCGCAAGATTCATGTCACCACGTATCACCTTTCAAGCATCGCATTTAAAGTGAAAATAAAAGCTTCATAGTGTTTGCGTGACTCTAGTGATTGAAGGTAGTAAAAATACTGACAAACTACTAGTAATTGAAAAACATACATAAACTATAATTATAGGATTATGGTGTTTGTATTTATTGCTGCTAATGGTCACAAAACTACAAGAAATTAAAGCAATGTCAATCAAAGATTTAAAACAAATTGTGGAAAACTTTCTGGTAGTTCAATTGATTAAATTCCTTGAAGTGTTTTATGCGTCAATTACCTTTCAGATACCAAGAATAGAAAACACCGAAATAAGACCCTACTGTTTCAAAACAACCTGATTAATTTAAGCACACAGAAAATGTACTCACAATTTGGGAAACAAAAAAATATAAGTACACAACTGTCTACAAGGACACAAGCTCATGCTTAAAGACAAAGTGAATATTCTTCTGTGTACTTTTGAGTAAACTTAAAGTATCTATATTGCCTACAGGGTTTTAACAGAGACATGCCCATCCAAGTTCACTGAGTGTTTGGAGATTGGTACCTAATGATGTCAATTTGGGAAAAAAAAAACACACAAAGGCATTCACTTCCAAATAGCAATTCAAAAAATCAGCCATAGTTGTTCACATTCTCCAAAATTCTTAGAAAGTGGTCACTTCATAATGCTCTCAATTTGTAAAGGACAGCTAAAAAACTGCAAAGCTGTGCTCCAGACTTGCCCAGTCACCTCAGGCGACCCACATATGGTCTCGGGTGACTAAAAAAAATACTAGTCACCCAGCCAGGCACTCAGCTCTCTTGTTTGCCACTCAGCACTGCGGTAAAGCGGGCGACTGATTGTAACATTCAATTTCTGGTTGATCATGAGTGTTACATGGAGAAAAATATCCTTTCACACAACACGCTTTTTATTTTTCAATTTCGAAGTTTTTGCCAAGTTTGTTTCACATGAATTAACATGAAACACAATCTTCCCTCCACGCTTTACTTCGCACATGACAAACCGCACAGATAATGCAAAAATTTGTGTTGAAAATCTCGATTTTCCCCGGAGATTATTTTCTGATATGTTTTAGTGTTTAAAACACATAATTCTTTAAATATAAAACAGAATTCTTCATATAAATGTTTGCAAATTTTTGCCATTTGGCTAAGTCTGCAAATAAACATGTCTTGAGTAAACAAAATTTTAATAGCGAAGATTTGTTAGCAATTTCATTTTATCCATACTTGATACTGTAAGCACTTAACTTGAAACGATTTCACGACTTATTTCTGTGATCTTTGATGAAACTTTTAAGTAGTTCTAAATTTAGCGAGTAGTTTATAAATTAAGTTTTTTCATGAAATCACAAGTTTGCTAATTTTAAAAAAATAAACTGTGGCTGCTAAAAATAGTAACTCACTCCACCACGTGTGTGAAAGTTTGGTTAAAGAACAAGAAAATACTAATACATAGTTATTTGGGCAATTCTGTGGCCTCCTGCAAGTGTAAAAAAAGTAGAAATGAATCCACAGCTTAGTAAAGATTATCATCGGCCAGACTGTCACAAGAATAGCTACACATGTATCAAAGCTTTCATGTACCTTCTGAAAAGTTTAACTCTCCACGTATATTCAGGTACATAAGTTGACTTCTTGGTCAAACTAGATAACCTAGAAAACTTTCAAGTAAATTCTTTAACTGGGTGGATTAATTTTTATTTGGGCCATTTTAGCACGAAACTTGAATGGGTTCATTCTCGTATTGTCACTTCATATGCATACCGCATGACTCGTACCGCATTACAACAGTTTCATAGAATAAATTCTGCTCCTGTTGTCTCTACATGTTTCTATTTTTACACAGCTTTCAGTTGTCATTTATGCAGGCAACCGTGAAATCCACCACACAGTTCTCAGAAATACCATCACGTTCACTGTCTCAGCAGCTTTACATTTTGGAGTTTGGAAAAAATCAAAATTGAAAAACTCGCTGTCAACTGATAATAATAATAACACTTCATTTTATGAGGGTAACATTAATTACTGATGACTCAGTAGTTTAATAATGGCCCTCCCTAAGCTAATCTAAAACCAGAGGGTAAACCTAAAATAATTACTAATAAATCAATCAATATGTGTAGTTAATATTAAAATGTTCATTAACAGAGTTTTCTGATGTTATTTTTCTACAGATTTCCATTAAAAAGCGCAACTGTGAAAGTGTGTCTCTAACAGATTGAGATTCTAATAGACCAAGATTCTAACATACCAGTAATTTTATATGGTGGTATGTTTACTAGGAAAACCAAACTTCTGCATAAGTAAGTAAGTAAGTAAGTAAGTAAGTAAGTAAAGACTTTATTTAAAGAGGGTAGCACTAAAATAGTATAAAAATACTAACAAACCAGTGGCCAGGAGTAATCTGACAGTGTACGAAATACAACAAAACTAAAAATCTTCAAAATTACTTGAGTGTACAATTTAATTTCATGATTGAATTAATTATTAACTAATTGAACCATAACTTAATCATAAATCTTAATTAATTAATTAATCAATTGATGAATTAATTGTTTTGGGGCGACCAGCCTGGAAAGCTGGGTACCCTAGCTGGCATTGTTGGGAGCCTGAAGCGCTCCCTGAAAATTTTCTTAGAGCACAGCCTTAATGTAACAACATAGTTACATGATTATGTGCAAAGTTATTGTGATCCACATTCTTGTTACCACTGCTTGCTAGTCTGCATAAGGTCTTTAAAGCTTTTCAGCGAACGACATTTACATGAAGCATACCAGCAAATAAAAAACTTTCTGCTTCGAGATTTGCCATTGATCCAAGGTAACATCACAACCATACTGGAACCTGCACTCTTTTTGCTTAGAAACTTGGTTAACTTGGATGGGCCTGGCTCAAGCTGGAGCTTTAGAGCTCAACTTCAGGGGAAAATAACATCCAAATAAAAAAATTTGGGACATATCTTTGCTCTATAACCATAATGAAACTGTAAAAACCCTGAAGGCCATTGTAATGTATTACATGATGCCACAAGACATAATAATGTACACTGTATGTTGAGTTGCAAATCATGGGATTTAAACAGTGGAGTTGAACACAGGGCTGTCTTCAAGTAGCTGTATGTTTTAATGGCAAATGGCTCCTCCCTTGATTCACTTAATGTGGTGGCAAGGATCTAAATGACAACTTTATTTGGTTGAGTAGATGCATTTGATGAGAAGATGGGAAGCTGGGCGCATTACTTTGATGCAAAAATAAGAATTTGGATGACAACACAAAAAAGAAAGCAGTTCTACTGAGTGTGTGTGGAAGTAAAATTTACAAGCTGACGTAAACTTTTCTAGCCCCAACAAAAACAGGGAGGAAAGTCATACCAGGAAGTTGGTTAAGTTGATTCAGGATCATTTGGCTTCTAAAAAGTCAGAAATTGTGCAAAGGTTTAAGTTCAACAATGATACCCATAATCAAAGGAGAGTCAGTGACAGATTACGTGGTAGTGGTCAGGAATTTGGCCAAACATTGTGAGTACTGGGACACTCTTGACACCATGCTATCAGCGAGCCAGGCCAAACAGAAAAGCTGACATTTGTTTCTTTGACCCACCAAATTGACTCTGGTCTTAAGAGGGGCTACCAAGAGAGAGATATCATGGATGCGATTATACATTCAATTTCACCACACAGTAGTTTAAGGAGTTATGTTGAGACCCTCCCAGACCTGACCCTGGCAAAACTCAGAAAAGTTCTTTGTGTGCACTACCATGAGAAAACGGCCTCAGAGCTTTATCAACAAGTCGCCACCATCTATAAGCAACCAAAGGAAGCGCCCCAGCAGTTCCTCCTTCAGGATGAATATTCAAAACACAGTTAGTTAGTTCACAGTTAGTTAGCCAAGAAGCAGATTGTGAAATCAATTACGATTTTCCCTTGATCCAAAAGACTTTTCTAAAATCTTTTGAAACTGGTCTGAAGGACAACATCTTGGCAACCAACTTGAGGCGCACTCAAGAGGGAAACTGCAATCAGATCAGTGCTTTGGCAGTGCAAGGGATGCATGGCAGTTAAATACTGTAGTAAACTGTTCCAAGAGAAACACTGGAAGGAACACAAAGTACTTTGCAAAGCCATCCAACACCTCGATACCAATAAAAAGGAACAAGAAGTTGTGCATTCCAGTCATTTTGTGACTCACCTTAATCCGAAACAGCGCACGACGCTCATACGACTAGCTGGTATGACTAGTTGGAAATGTAGCGATGCTCACTCCAAGTGGAAGGAGAATTTTCCAATGACCACATTGACTTCAAGTGCCACCATCCAGAAATTGTCATCACAGACAATGGCACCAACTTTGCAAGCAAAGAGTTTGAAGATTTCCTCAAACAGCATGGGATCCATCACTTCAGAACTGCACCCTGTCACCCAGCATCTAATGGAGTGGCTGAGAGAGTGGTACAAACACTCTGGGAGGGAATGAAGATGAATGGAGGAGACATGGAAATCTACGAGTATCAAGATTTCTACCTCATTACAGAATCACCCCTTCAACAAGAGTGTCACCTTCAGTATTGTTTCTAGGAAGGAAACCCAAATCAAGAATAGACCTAGTCTACATGGGAATTGAAAGGGAAGTGTAGCAAAGCCAGGCTTCTCAGAAACTGGCACACTACTGGCATGCTATGGAGCATACCATGCTGGAAGGAGAAGCAGTTTATGATAGTAACAAATTTGATGCTATCTACAAAATGATTCATTTAAAGTTGTAAAACAAAATTTCTTGAACATCAAATCCTGAACTTTCATAGAGCAACCAGACATGAAATAATGTGCTAGTACGTAATGAGTTACATGTGTATAAAATGCAATCCGAAGTTCAAAACTCAATGGTGAAACCAATTTCACTGCTAATTGATAACAGTATTGTTATACCAGAAGACCACTTCCTAAAATATCTGTATTACACTAAACCCACTTTGTAAAATCAGTTCTTTGTTGTTAACTGAGAAAATACTGCATCTACATGTAAGTTAAGACGAGCACTACCCCTAGTTTTTCCATCCTTTGAATCACATACAAGTTTTCGTACAGAGTTAAACCAATGAATGCAGTAGGCAATTTTGTATGCTGACAGCAACGGTCTCAATTGCAAGTGATTCGTAAAGCGGGCTGCTACAAGATTTCCACAACTGGCCAACAAATTTAATTGCCAATTTTCTAAGGACGCAATTCAAGTGAGACAGTTCACTAGTTGCATGAAAGTTAGGGAGGGAGGGGAGGGAGTCCCCTCCTTAATGAAATGCAGTTAGGCTCTTTCCATAGGCTGAAATATTTTAAGTGTCTATAATGACATACAGTTCACCAGTTGCACGAATTGTGAGTTGTACAAGTTGAAAAGGTCCCCTCCTTAAACTTGTGCTGGAACATTCTAAGTGCCTCTATAAGATACAGTTCACAAGTTGCATGGGTTGTACGAGTCATACAAGTTGAAAGGTCCCTTCTTTAAAGTTGCCCTGAAATATTCTAAGTGTCTGTAATGAGATTTCATTTCAGCAGTTGTACTAGTTGTGAGTCTTACGAGTTGGCAAGGCCCCTTCCTAAAACATGTGCTGAAATATTATTAGTGTCTCTGATGAGACACAGTTCACCAGTTGCATGAGTTCTATGAGTTGAAAGGTCCCTAAAATTGCACTGAAATATGCTATTAGTAAGTGTCTGCAATGAGGTCTCCTTTTCAAAAATATAAGGAAGATGTGCTTTTTTCCCACCACTGAAGACAAATGGAAGAAAGTTATAGATCTAATGAAAAAATGGAAGAGAAGCGATTGTCTTTCATTCAGAATGCAAATTTTCATTTCACCAATAAACAACAACTAATTTAATTCTCAAATAGTCACGTCAAATCACAGAACAGAATGTTCTTATTTTGTTACCACCTTTAGGGGAAAAGATCTCAATTAATACAACTGTACTGAGAAGCGTTTCAACAAGAGTACATCCTACATTGGTAAATGAGTCCCCACAAAGACAGATTAAATTAACTTGTGCTTTCAGTACGAAAACTGTGAGCTTTGAACAATAGATGTTCAAGGACGAATATCCGAGCATATTTTTACGCCAAATGGAGGCTACTATGTTTATTATCCTTAAAATATTTTTAGCTGGGAGATATTCAGGCATGGGACGGGTTTAAACCAATTACGTGCGAGCAAAAATATTTGATTTGAAGTGTTATATAATGAAAATAACTGGATCAAGTTCTTGGAGATACAGGCTGTATACGTGTACTTAATGTCTCTATTACTGAATCAACCTCAGCTTAATCCAACAACTGTTTAAAATCGTATTAACTTTAACTCACCATAAGGATATCCATACGGCCCACTTAATGTCAGCATGTCACTTTCTTCTCTCTCCTAATAAATACAATCAACATGAAGTACACGCACTGTTAATAACAACTGTTACAATGAATTATACATGAAAATTACAAAATGAAAACAACAAATCGTTCTTCTACTGGTAAAATACCAGCTTCATAAATAAAATGAATGGGAATTATAGACCAGACTAAACTTAAAGCCAGGTACACTTGCTTTCTCAAAGTCCTTTGCAGTTATATGTGGTCCAGCTGCAAAGGACTTTTAACACCTCAATGCACCAAATTTATTAGTGCGAGGAGAAATTTTCCTCCTGTACTAACTGACCAATCGAAAACATGTGTCAATCAAACTAGAAATGCCAATGTGCAACTTCACTTGACTTTCATTTGACCACAATAGAAATTTGGGAAACAATTCACCAAAACTAAAAGGTAGACTGCACAAGTAAGGAAGTAAAAAGAATTTCACAAGACGTTTTTGAAAACATATTCTTTACCCTTTTTTTGTGATGAAAGAAATCAAACTTTCAATATTCCATTACAAGATTGTTCATAATTCTCTTTACACAAAGTGCATAATATTTTTGTGCAAAATGAAAAGGGGTTCAAAACTCAGATTGTCCCTTTTGCATAAATGCAGACCAAACAGTCAGTCACTTATTCCTATCGTGTCCTATCACAATTTCTTTCTGGTCTGATGTTAACCGTCTAACCCTAACCCTAACCCTAACCCATTAACAAAAAAAGTGAATACCCTATAACCAATAACAAAGACCCAGGACCTAAAGCCCACTGGACTAAAATGAAGACCCTTGGAGTACCAAAGCGATACCCACTGGACTAAAATGAAGACCCTTGGACTAAAATGAAGACCCACTGGACTAAAACGAAGCCTCATTACTTGCATTTATGCGTCATACATTTGTGATTTAATAGTACATGCGCAGTTGTAGCTGGAGAGGATTAAACATGGCTGTTGAGTGTGGTGTATTTTGTATTCCCGCCTTACAAGAGTCTGGGTAGATCCACAGCCTCATTTACGTTCTGTTGCATCAGATCTACCTGATCTTGGATCAGGTCCGCCATGTGCTCAACGTAGCTCTGTATTTGTGAATGAAGTATTGTATTTGTAAAATGAAGACCCTTGGACTAAAATGAAGATCCACTGGACTAAAACGAAGACCCATTGTGTTGTGTTATTTAACTGTTAACCTTGCATTTATGAGTCACACATTTGTGATTTAATAGCACATGTGCAGTTGTAGCTGGAGAGGACTAAACATGTCTGTTGAGTGTGGTGTATTTTGTACTCCCGCCTTTTAAGAGTCTGGGTACATCAGTAGCCTCATTTATGTTCTGTTGCATCAGATCTACCTGATCTTGGATCAGGTCCGCCATGTGCTTAATGTAGCTTTGTATTTGTTGTGTTCATTAAAGCTTCAGTACTTAACAGTGGCTATGAGAATTCTGGAAAGTTAATGTTGGCTTCAGAAACAGCTGTAGTGAGCACGTAGTAATTCAAAATACATACGGGAAGCCCGAAACGAACCGAATAAACAAAGGAAATTATGGTAGGTAGACCACCTTATGACCAGTTCAATGCTAAATCAGAGGACATCGAAAGTTACCTAGGAAGACTTCATGAGTATTTTACCGATTATGACATCAAGGATAACAAAGACAATGCTGCTAAATGACAAGCGATTTTATTGACATCAATTGGAAGCAATTCCTTTCAAGTAATCTGAAAACATTTGCTCAGTTGGCGACTCTGCTACACGAGCAATTCAAGCTGACACATTTGAAGATCACCGAGAGATACCATTTCCATTCTGCTGTTCAGAAGCAAGGGCAGTCCATCGCTGACTTTGTACACGAACTGAAGAAACTAGCTGGTACATGTACATGTGAGTTCATGAATGAATAGTTGCATGATAATTTATGCGATTATTTTATTTGTGGACTGTGTTCACAACATGTCAAGCAGAAACTCTTGTCACCAATCTTTACATTCCAAGAATGTAAGGCAATCACGCAAGAAGCTGCACACAAAGATTCCCATGGGGGAGAAGCCGGTGCCAGTGGTGGTGTGAATGAAATGAAGTGTGACAACTGAAAGTCACGTGGTCGCTTTCAAAAGCGAGGTAAAGGTCATGCAAGAGACGGAAAATCAGGTCAGCCCACTGGAGACAACGAGCAGTGCCACAGCTGTGGTCTCACAAATCACACCCAGGATAACTGCAGATACAAAGGCACAGAGTGTTTCAAGTTTCACAAAACAGGTCATTTGCAATCTAAATGTCCTCACAGGAAGCCCTCTCCTAAGCTATGGAAAGAGAGAGAACATGTCCGTCTCGCTGAAGGTTCCGAGGAACTAGGAGCAAGCGACTCGGAAGACTGTTTCCATACGTCAATTTTCATTTCAGAGTCCGAGTCACATGACTCAAAGATATCTGCACCTGCAGTTAAGGTTCCTGACTGTGTGGATTGAAGATGTTGATTTTCAAATGGAAGTCGATACTGGAGTAGCAACATCTACCATGTGTGGCAAGGATTTACAAACAATATTTGTTGCTCTTTTGCCCAACATAAAAGAAACATTCACCAACAAAAGGCAGGAGACACATGTATGCATTGTGTACCTATTTTTTTTTCATCTAATCCCTGGGTAGCCAGGAATAATACAGCAGATGTAACATTAACAGTTTACTGCTGCCCCTGAAATTCAAAAGATAAAAAAGGTTAAGATAAAAATATAAATAATTTGGAAGTTACCAGAAAATAGGGCACATCCCTTTTTAGTTGACCCAGGCCCAGAAAGACAGGATTCTAAAGAAAGCAAACACACTGCAGATAACTCTCATCAACTCTATTTCCAACAATCTAAGATATAGGCATTGAATTGATTATTTACCTGCATTTTGATCCCATTTGGGTGACAGTAATGGTTGCCAAATGTCACACAGCTTATAAGATCATCAGTTTGTGTCTCATGGGTAGATTCATTAATTTGCATGATTGATCCGAGCCTATGTGTGTAACACACGACGATGATAATCAGCAAGGAAGCACAGTTTCCTCTCTATGAAATTCAGGACATCATCTGTTACTGAATTTATCATTCGACTTAGGGCCATTATTATAAAGTATCATATGGCATTTCATTTCATAGATTTGTATTAAATGGAGCTTTATAGCAATTGTCACACAATGATCGTAAACCAGGCCGAATTCTGGGCTCTAAGGCCTGAACAGGCTTTAGTTTAGTTCTGGGTCATTTCGATTTGATGTGTGGGCTGTATGTTTTGCTTGAAGCAAATTCAAAATAAACATTTACTCACCAGAAATCGCTAAAGCACAAAGACAAAATCCACAATGGCTCCCTTGGGCTGAAGAGCTTACACTCATTGAGCCTGTAATGACCATAGTGGAGGAATATCTCGAAAATAGTTTGTGCTCCACCAATTCTAAAAGTTTTCAATATTTCCAGGCAAATTCACTCTGTATATCAACAACTTATACAGTATACATCCCATCTGGCATTGATGGAACAACATCCGTAAAACAAGCGCTGAGATGGCATTTTCAGATGGCCAACGATAACACCCCAGCTATATTGAGCATTTCTTGGTGTAGATTAGTGCGGGAATGTTGAGATGGCCAAGTGAATGACAAGTTTGCCTTGAAATCCAGCGACTGAAATCAGGCCGAGGTTCAAGCCCTAGTCAGCACGCTTCGCTTTCTTTCTTCTCGCACCATAATTTCCGGTTAACATCAGCATAAATTAATCAACATTTAATTTTCACCTACACTAATTACAAAGTCTACGTGGATTAAATGTCCATGCAGATTCCCAGATAAAGGCCAGCATCGCTAAAACTCATTCATTGCGCATGCACACATGAATGAGTCAAAAACTAGCTGGATATATTTGGATACAGCAATGTTTCAGGACTTCAAGGTTTCCCTCCTCTTGCCACACGCTTGAGGGGATTATTTTGACCAAAAAGTGAAAAAAAAATTTGAGTTCGCCTCAATTATAAGCAATGCTTCATGTTTCATCAAGGGCCAATAAGTTTATGTCTGTAGATACTGCTCAGTTTTGCTTGTGTAAAAATCCAATAAACTGTCAGTTACTGATGAATAAGAGCGCCCACCGATGCTTCTTTTGCACAGTCAGTAAACATGGCAAATTGGACTTTCGCATATTCGTGTGAAAACATACATCAAACTCATACTATATCTCTAGTTTTTAAATGTTTAAAGTTGATTAATGTTTAAAGGGGCAGTATCACAAGAGGTCTTCTAAGTTTTTGTGCAGACTATGCTAAAATTATAAAGCCGCAGTCACTGATCAACAAAATAACCTTAAAACAACAAAAATGGCACACAGCCTGTAAATTCAATCTTTACTGAAGAGATCAATGATTTTTAGAGATTTTCCTCCAAGAAACATTGTCAAACTTGAAAACGTCGGACCGACGTTTTAGACCACTTCTTTCCTACTTGTCCATAGCTACAGCAGTTGTAAACAACTTTCATGACCAGTACCGTGCATTTTAGCAAGGTTAGGCAACTACTAGTGGATTTCCAATTAATACCAACACCTTCATTGGATTTTCAAGTAGCACTAAATCTTGGTGAGACTGCCCCTTTAAGAGCATATTAAAAGCTTAGCTGAAAATGGGTGAATACAGCAGAAATAATCAGCAAAGTTATGATGACGCTTTCTTTAATCAACTCAAAACGATTTTAATTTTGTTGGTTGACATCACTTGAGTTATCAAAACTCCTTGTCTATTTTATTTTCGCAGTGTAAAATTTCACTACGTTGAAGAAACACACATGATGTTAGTAGCCTTTTAGCTAGTTGAAAATTGTTGCAGCATCTCAGCACAAAAGATAATGAAAGAAATCTTTGTCAAGATTTGTTGAAAACACCTACTCGGACTTGAAAGTGCACATGCTGCACTATGAAAATGAGCTACTTGTACATGTCAGACTTTCCTTTCAAAAACTTTTGCAAACTCGCCA